TCGGAAATGATATGCAAGTGCCTTCCCGAAACACAATTAATTGAGAAGGTTTGCCATGTGTCTTGTTGATTACATCGTCAGACTGAGGTAGCAGGCGCTGGTTTCATCAATATCTTCATATCAAAAACGTTTATTGCCGAAGAAATTTCGAAATTGGTTCGACTTGGATTTACTCTTCCACCTCCCCTACGAAAACTGAAAGTCATCGTTGACATGTCTAGTCCGAATATCGCCAAAGAAATGCACGTCGGACATTTAAGGTGATTTTAATCAAAGCAACTAAAAGCCCTTTTGAGGTTTTATAATCTCATACAGCAACTAGCTCGAACCTCGTTTTCGCTTCAATAAAAATGTGTATAACAACTCTCCATGCTCTGCCCAAATTTGGTCGGATACCCACAGTCTGGGATGAGAATTCTATACATCAGAGAATATTAGGGTAGTCAAGACCCAAGATTGAGGACACAAACTGGCTAGTTACTTTACCTGTATCTTTTCCCCGTCTGTTTTGCATTTTGAAATGGATAGACATTTCGAATCCTAGTACATTATTTCTGTCATTATTTTTTCTCCAAACCACCTGGGAGCCGAATGTTCACTTTTACTTATTTTGGCGCAAAGTTTATGTCTGTAAAATGCTTAAATGTGCCATCTTGTCGCTATAGCTCCGTTTTCAAAAGAAAACAACATATCTCACTCTTCCAAGGCATTATTTTTAAATCCCTACCAGGTCTACTATAATCGGAGAAAGCGTTTCTCGATTGCTGATTTTCCTGGGCCACGACATTCTCAAACTGAATCATCTCGGAGATTGGGGCACCCAGTTTGGCATGCTGATCGCCCACTTGCACGACACCTTTAAGGACCTGGGTGATCAGCCACTGCCCGTATCCGATTTGCAGACTTTCTACAAAGCCTCCAAAAAGCGGTTCGATGAAGATGAAGAATTTAAGAAACGTGCGTATGAAGCTGTTGTAAAGTTGCAAGCTCACGATCCGCTCTACATTCGAGACTGGCAAAAGATTTGTGACATATCTAAACGGGGTATGTGCTTATGCATGTTGTCCCATTCATTGATGTTGGCCACCTGCTTTCAGTTGTTTATTTTTTTCCTTCTTATTTATCTTTTGGCTAGAGTTCGACGAAATTTACCGTCGAATGGATATTAAGGACCTTGTCCCACGTGGCGAGTCCTTTTACCAGTCGAGAATGGAGAGCCTGGTCGCAGAGTTAAAATCCAAAAATCTCCTTGAAAATGACGATGGACGTCAAATCGTACGCACAGACAATTGCTCTGTTCCGC